ATACAAGTACAAAGCAAGCGAGATAGTCTCTACCCTCAAGGTCCATTCTAAAGAGGGCAAACAACATCTAGAAGGGGTGCTGGAAAGAGGGGAACTTGCTTTCAGCTCTAAATCTATGATCTATGACTACAGGATAAAGTCCAGACTCCATGCCTTATTATTAATCAGTATTACTATTAATACTTGTTAATAAGTATTATTATCCTTGATTATTATCAATGATTGGTTGATTATTGGAATCCTTCGGGTTAACGTTACTCAGGGGCAGTATCGGAATCCAAACCTGGTCAGGATTGTCTGAGTTTAGAGTGGTTTGTCAATTAGACAGTTCCAGGTGGCCCCCACTAGGTGGATCTGTAGCTTCATTCAGGTAGGGCTACCGTCCTTCACGAATTTCAGTGGCGCATTTGAGCCTAAGCTACTGGCCCTTTAAGAAGGTGAGCCAGGTGAAGCTCGTAACTCCGCCCTCTGCCAAGGCACCGCCCCCGGCCCCCGCCCTACTTTTCCCGGCTCCACCAGCCCGGTGACCGGCCCTTGGTCCCGGTCCCGGCTCGCGCGCCATGGAGCGGCGCAGCCCCCTGGGGCTCGGGCTCCTGCTGCTGCTCTGCGCCCCGCTGCCCCCGGGGGCGCCCGCCAAAGAAGGTACTGACTTCCCTCCGCCTCAGATCTCTTCTTCCCACTTAGTCTTTCCCTTCCCCCAACTCCCTCCCTTACCCAGGAGTCCCCGGCCCTGGGGACCACCTGCTCGCTCCCCCACACCTTCCACCGCGCGCGCACACACGCTCTTGTTCCGACTGTTACCCCTGTTCCCTTTCTTTGCAGAGCTTCCTGCAGCCTCTCACACACCTTCCCCGTGACACACACACCCCCTCCCCTGGCAGCCCAGGCTAATGAACTTGCCAGGCCAAACTTTGCTCTTTAACCCCTACGTGGTAATTCTGGGGTCATTCAGTCCTCACACTAGCACCACGAGCAACTAGAGCTGTTGGGGTGGAGGGGTGGAGACGGGGCTGGAATGGGCCTGAAGACTGAAGAGAGGCCCCCGTGATAGTTTACTACTTGCTGAAGAGTACCGATCACCACCACCCTCTATTCCTGGGGGAGCCCATACTTTGGGCTACGTCTCTCCTGGGAACCCAAATCTTAACTCCACCATCATTACCTTAATAATATGCAGTGAAAAAGGGAATAGGGCCTCCCTTCCTTTCCTGGGCTATGGGCTTCAGACTGCATTTCCTGGGTCCCTTATACCAAACCTCCCCACCACCACTCAAACTGTGAAAGCCAAAGCCCATCAAGTCCCACCCTCATGCAATCCTGGGATAGTTTATAGAATTACAGGTTTTTAGAGTTGTCAGAGATCTGGTCCAGTTACAAAAAAGGAAACCGAGGCCCAGTGAAATCAAATGACTTGCCTAAGATATTGTTTTCTATAAGCCCTTACTCCCTAGCTAAATGGACTGCCCCCTGGGGGCAAGGGTTATAGATCCTGTCATCCAGTCAATCTGGAATCTCCACCCCCAGATTCTTCTGGCATTGAACCTAGCAGAGGGTCCCGCATCGTAGCCCTTTTCATATTTGCCTTTTCTTCTCCTAAACTCTCTAAGTGTCTTTGTAACATGAATATTTCACAGGTATGAATACCCCTCATTGCTAGTCCATGTTTTTGCTCAAGAAAAGGCAGGAGGTTTGATGTGTTGGGGGGGAGGGGTAGGGGGAAGAGGGAGACATCAATCAGCAGGTCACTTCACCAAGATGGTCTGACGTCCCTCTCCACCCCCACCCCACCCCCCCAGTAACTCTGCTAGACACCAGCACTGCACAAGGAGAGCTAGGCTGGCTACTGGACCCACCAGAAACTGGGGTGAGTACCAGGGGAGAGGAGGGTTTTTAGGACTAGGGAGGGCTCCAGACCAGTGGGAAATGGGACAGGCAAGTGGGTGGGAGAAGAGAAGAAAAGAGCAGGAAAAACTGGAAGTGTCTCCCAGGGAGGCGGCTGTCGGGTGTGTGTTGGGGAGGGGGGGAAGGGGGTGGAATAAAGGCTGAGTCAGAGCCTACTGAGCAGGGCGGGGTGGGGGGGCCAGACTTCTCCCCATGGAGGATGTCTAAATAACCTAGCTTAGGTTGGTTCCTCCCCTTTCCTGTTTCCCCAAAATGAGGTGGGGGTGATCAGAAGGAGTGGATTTACCAGCAGGAGGTGGTCACTTGTAAGGACTTTAAAGATTCTCAAAATTTATAGGAGGGGGAAGGTGTGGAGGAAAATCCTGGATTGTGTCTGATGGCTGCTGTCTTGGCTACTCTTAAAAAAAGGATAACTATATGAAGTTTTCTTCCTTGTTCCCAAGCTCTTGACTTATGCTGCCATCCTTGCCATCAGGAGTCCCCTACTCTTAAATCCTTCATCGTGCTGTCCTGGGGGGGTGTCATGCATGTTCCACATACAACCCACCCTCTGGTCCTGGTCATCAGAGGGCAAGCAATATCCCATGAAAAGGGCTAGGAGAGTCTTGGGTACGGCACAGCTATGAGAAGCTGAGAATGAGGGTTTTATGTCTGATATATTAGGGTGATAGAGCAGTGAAAAAACAGCAAGGGGGTGTTGCTCCACCTGGTTAAAGCTCCGAGGTTCTTGATTTGGGCCTTTCCCCCTTTTGACTCCATTGTTTTCATTTTATGGCAGCCACCTTCTCTAGTTTCTTAGGTGCTAGAGACTATTCATTCTGGGTTTGCTCTTCCCTTTTTCTCTGTGTTTTAGGGTCCTGGCTCCACTCTTTCTGCTCTCCCACAGTGTGGCCTGTAATTAGAGTTAATAGACTAAACTATAATGTACCCTCCAGGAGGGGCTGCTTAGGAAACCCTGAATGAGACGTGCCCTAATAGGCGCCTTATCCCATAAACCAGCTAATCACCCCCACAACTATGGCTACGGGCCCACCTGCTGGTTCCCACCAGCCCCTTGAACTCCCGCCCCCTCCCAACCTTACCCCCATTCCCAGCCCCAACTAACTCTTTCTCTAGCAACTAATTATCCTTAACTGAAAAGGAGTAGGCTGTTCAGTTAAACAGATCTGCAGTGGGTAGAAGATCAAGGGGAATTCCTCCTTCAGTTGTCCATCCCACACACACCCCCCACCCCAAATTTAAAAGTCAGTAAAAATAACCAGCAGCCAACCACCTGGTTTCCCAGGGTGCACTTGGGAAGCTGACAACTTAGCCGATTAGTAAAGGGTACTTATTGCTAGTACAGAACATCTGTTTGTCTGCTCTGTCTCCTGTTTTTGTCAGTACTGAAACTGAGGGGAGACATGTTGAAGTCAAGACAGGCTGTCTTTGCAAGTTCCAGCTGAGGCCATGGTGACCTGACTGTGATCACCCTTCCCACACTCCCCACTTCTATGCCAGCAGCCTGCTTAGCTTCTTCACCTATAGCACCCCACACCCCAACTTAGGTCTGGGTAGCTCACCCTAATCCCCTGTACTTTCCAAGTACCTAGAGTTCCATAGGCACAGTTGTGCCTTTAGTACCTATGGTAGCAGGTATGGAGATGGTACTTTTCCAGCCAGTGGCCGTTCACATTCCACCCTTCCCTACCACCAGCCACCACCAACCACTACCACCACCACCACTAATTAGCCCTTTAAAAGATCCCTTGCTATTCAGTTTACCAATCCCAGCTACCAGAGTTCCATGTGGCCAATTTTTAATTTCCTAAAGCTTCAGAACAAACTCCTCAAATGTTAGACAATCCCAATGATAGACCAGTATTAAGTGATGATTTATTTCATCCTTTTACCTGTGAGGATTTTCATCCTCTTTACAATTCCCAGTGCTGCTGATATCTTCACAACCTTGTGAGCCATGTTGCATATACTAAACCTGGTCTCCATAGGTGAGGCAGGAGGGATGGATTCTAGAACCAAAGAAGCCCCACATTGGCTGCCCTTTCTTCAGTGGGACAGGGTGGTGAGGGCAAAACAGTGCCTGGGTCTTAGGTATTCTACCCTGAAGTATTATAGGTATACCCCAAAGCAGGGCTGAATCTTGCTGACTAGTAAAGATAATAGAATGAGACTAGAGTGAGTCTGAAATTGGACCCTCCACTCCAACCCTCACAAATGGAGTGGGAGGGAGGGGGAAGGGACACACTGACACAATTTCTCTCCATCCAGTGGAGTGAGGTGCAGCAGATGTTGAATGGGACGCCCATGTATATGTACCAGGACTGCCCTGTGCTGGCTGGGGGGGACACGGACCACTGGCTTCGCTCCAATTGGATCTACCGGGGGGAGGCCGCTTCCCGAGTCCACGTCGAGCTTCAGTTCACTGTTCGAGACTGCAAGAGCTTCCCAGGAGGCTCAGGACCACAGGGCTGCAAGGAGACATTCAACCTCTTCTACATGGAAAGTGACCATGATGTGGGCATCCAGCTCCGGCGACCCCTCTTCCAGAAGGTACTGTTGCCCCATCGTATCCATCCATAGTCTAGCAACTGACCCCTTTTACCAACCTGATCTCTTGAGATAAGCCTTACTACCAAGGAGAGGAAAATCATGAGACAGGGGACCTTTTCTGGGTAAGAATGAGGAGTATATACTTCCTGACTCTAGCACCCAATACTCTTGTCTCTCCAGGTGACTACAGTGGCCGCAGACCAGAGCTTCACCATACGGGACCTGGCGACTGGTGCCGTGCGGCTAAACGTGGAGCGTTGCCAGCTGGGCCACCTGACTCGTCGCGGCCTTTACCTGGCTTTTCACAACCCAGGGGCTTGTGTGGCATTGGTGGCCGTTCGAGTATTCTACCAGCGTTGTGCTGAGACTGTACATAAGCTAGCACATTTCCCTGACACCCTTCCGGCACCCATGGGTTTTGCTGAGGTGTCAGGGGTCTGCCTGCCCCATGCCCAGTATGCCCCTGGCCCTTCAGCTGCCCCTCGAATGCACTGTAGCCCTGATGGAGAATGGCTTGTACCTGTGGGTCGATGTTACTGCAAACCAGGCTATGAGGAGGTCAAGGAGGAGAATGGTGCTGAAGGATGTACTGGTAAGGGCATGAGAAGAAAAGAGCACCTGGGTGAGGGATCATGGCTGGGGAGGAAACGACAAGCAAGCATTCTCAGTACCCTGCGCTCTCCTCAAGACCCTGATCTGTCTGCCTATGACCACTGTCCTCATCACCTCAGCATCATCCACTGACCTCTCCCCTATCTCCCCCACCCACCCACCTCCAGCCGTATTTGCAAAGGACTTTGCAAACCTTAAAGAACTGCATGAATGTGATTTGGTGTGTGCTTTCTACTCTCCTCACCCTATCCTGGATCCCCCAATCTCATCACCAATGTTATGCGTTTCCATTTCAGCATCACTTATGCTCTCTGTCCTGTGACCCTGTGAAAGGCAAAAGTGGAGGGAAGGTAGATATGGATAGGGGGCATGGGCCAGAGCAGGGTCATGGAGTCAGCTTGGAAGAGAGGGGCAGGGATAAGTGCTGACGCTGCTGAACTAACCTTCATTCTCAGCTTTAGGTTCAGCCACTCACTTCTCTATTACATAGAGATGGGAACTGGCATGTCAAAACTCTGCCCTACCCTGAAGTATTATGATGACAATAATAATAGTTTTCATTTATATGGTACTTTTTTTGGAGGCAATAGGTGTTAAGTGACTTGCCCAGGGTCACACAGCTAGTGTCTGAGGCTGGATTTGAACTCAGGGCCTCCTGACTCCAGGGCTAGTGCTCTATCCACTGTGCCACCTAATTACCCCATAATTTTTATAGCACTTTAGGGTTTGCAAAGATATGTGTACATATGTACATGTATACATATACACATACATAAAATTTTCTTTGATCCTCATAACAGCCCTGTAAAGTAAGTGCTATTATCTTCATTTTACAGATGAGCAAACTGAGGTTCAGGTTAAGTGACTTGGCCTTGGTCACGGGCTAGTACATATGTGAGACAAGATTCAAACCCAAGTGTTCCTGACTCCAGCTGGTCCTTTATCCACTGCATAGGTTCATGCCTTATTCCTTCCTGCCTCACTACCAATCAGTTAAAAAGTCTGAAATGAAGCCCATACCATCTCACTCTTGGACTATGGCAGTACCTTGTTAACTGGTCTCCTTGTTTCCAGTATCTTCCCCCTTCCAGGCTATCCTATATGCTCTACTTCACCATAATAATCTTGCTAAAACACAGATTTCAGACTTCTCACTGCCATATTCAGGAATGTCCAATGGCTTTCAGATGATGCAAGAAAATTCCAGACTCCTCATTCTGGTATTCACAGCTCTTTACAGTCTGGCTCCAGTCTCCAAACTCTTGTTCATACTGCTTTATTGACCTGAGGCAAAAATTGGGAAGTAGACATTTGGGTTTTTGGCACCCTCAGCTTCCCTAATTTACTTCCTTTTCCGCTTTTGGGTGACCCTTCATCATCCCCACCCCCTGCCATGCCCCTTAGATATACAGTGACCTGAGAACCTCTCTCTTTTCTACATTATAGACACCAGTGCTGTTTTGTTTTGTGGTGGAGGGAGGGGTGGAGTAGGGGATTGATTGCTAGCACTAACATATCACTTTAAGGCTTGCAAAGCGCTTTACAAACATTATCTGATTTTTTCCCCCTCACGATAACCTTTAAGGTAGGTGTTATTATTATCCCCATTTTACAGATGACAAAACTAAGACAGAAAGAAGTTAAGTGACTTGCCCAGGTTCATACAGCTAGTAAATGTCTGAGGCTGGATTTGACAGGTCTTCCTAACTCAAGGCCAGTGCTCTATCCATTTTCTCACTCTGGCATAAATGGCTGAAAGCAAATTAACCCTTCCCAGGTGTTTTCATTTGGACAGAGATCAAAGTCTTCAGCCAAAGGAATGAAACTCTGACAGTAAAATTTGGGGCCTTAGGTGGAAAAGGGAATTATCAGTGATGTTAAAATCATACCTTGTTAATAATAACCTACTCCACCTCTTGTTGAGGGTTGAGGTATATTTAGGAAATTATGAGGTCATGACATACCAACTAGTCAGAATAATGGACTAGGAAACTTAGAGGTCATCTGGTGAAGTCCAGGCTGGCTCGGAAATTATTATTTACTCTTTGAGAAAATAAAGCCAGATTTATAAAAATGTGATTCAGATGTAACCATTCAGGAGCACAGTCTTCACAAAATAAGATACATACCTGCAGCTGCATTTCTTCTGTCGTCACTTCAAAATTAGAAGGGATAGATGGTCATCTCTTTATATCCTTTATTTAACTTTTCTGGAACCCTAACAAGAAGCTGACCTCTAGGTCACTAAGTCACGTATAAGTGTTGTTGTTGAGTCATTTCAGTCCTGTCTGACTCTTCATGACCCCATTTGGAGTTTTCTTGGCAAAGATACTGGAGTGGTTAGCCATTTCCTTCTCCAGCTCATTTTACAGGTGAGGAAACTGAGGGAAATAGGGTTAAGTGACTTGCCCAGGGTCACATAGCTAGTAAGTGAGGCCAGATTTGAATTGAGGTTTTCCTGACTCCAAGCATAGCTGCCTGTACATTTATGAGAAGTTTTGTCCTTGAAAAGTTGTATGTGAAACAAATTCATTCTTCTCTAAGAGCTTCACATAAGAGCTGACAGAATTACAAAATGAGAGAGTAAACCCCCTAGGCCTGAGTGTAATCTAGGAATGCTTTTTATAAGGGGAAGGACTTGAACTGGCCCCCAAAGGATGTGCAGAATTTGGGTAGGAAGAGAAGAGGGGAAATTCCTTCCAAGTAGGAGAAAGTCAAGAAACATTTATGTAGCACCTACTGTTTATGTATCAGGCACTGTACTAAGCACTGGGATACAAAGAAAGGCAAAAAACCGTCCCTGCTCTCAAGGAGCTCACAATCTAATGGGGGAGAAGTCAGCCAAAGGGGAAATGAACCTTTCATGTTTGACAGGCATTGGCTTACCTTGAGTGGAAGGTGCTTGGTGGAGGGTAGTAGAAGATACTTCTAGACAAGTGAAATGGGTTCACGTTCTAGAGGGCCTTGACTGTCAGAATGAGGAGTTTGGAAACAGCCTTGTATAGTGGGTAGAAGACTACCTGTGGAGTCAGAGGACCTGGGTTCAAATCCTTCCTCTGATACATACTACTTGTGTCACCTTGGACAAGTCATCTGACTGCCCCAGGCCTCAATCTGTTAAATCGATAAAATGTAGAGGTTGCACTAGCTTGCCTTTGAGATGTCTTCCAGCTCTAGATCTTGGTGATCCAGATCCTTTTGGATCAGTCAACAATGGATTAGCCACTATGGTGGCTCAGTCTCCCCAACCTACAAAAGTGAAATGATCAAGGAAGCTGATGTCGGCTTTCTATTCTCTCTCTTCAGCCTGCCCTGTCAATTTCTACCGTGCTGAGATGGATGCCCCCAGCTGCCTCAAGTGCCCTCCCCACAGCACAGCTAAGTCTGTGGGGGCCCCAGTCTGCACCTGTGTGAGTGGCCACTACAGAACTCCTGGGGAAGGGCCCCAGGTAGCATGCACACGTGAGTGGGGTGGGTGGCCTGGGTGACTAGGGAGGGAAGGGTCCCAGATTATATGGAGGGCTATACTGGCAGTGGGTCTCCCCACTCCAAAACAACCAGGTAAATGCTCCATCTTCCCCTAAACCAACAGACACAGTTTCCAGGAAGTAGGGCCACCATAGTTCCTCCCCCTATTCTCTTCAAAAAACCTCATAATTCACAAGGGAGTCTCCTTATTCAATCATGACCCCATAAGTTTATACCTCAAAGAGTCTCGTTGGTAGGAGTGACCTCATATTGGGGATTTCTGCCATCTGATTTTATATAACCTCCCATAGGTCCCCCCTCAGCCCCTCAAAATATCAGCTTCTCTCTTTCGGGGACTCAGCTTTCCCTGCAGTGGAAGCCACCCAAGGATTCAGGAGGTCGTCGAGATGTGAGCTACAATGTGGAGTGTGCACACTGCCAGGGAGTAGCCCCAGATGAGGGGCCATGCCAGCCATGTGGGGCAACTGTGCACTTCTCCCCTGGCACCAAGGGACTCACCCTGCCTGCTGTTCAAATCGATGGCCTTGAACCCTATGCCAACTACACCTTTCGTGTTGAAGCCAAAAATGGGGTATCTGACCTGGACCCTAATGGTTCTCCCAGCACTACACTCAGCCTTAGCATCGGACATGCAGGTGAGGGCACCTGGGAAGGGGACAGCCAGAGCAACATTCAGGAAAGAGAAATGAGGGAGCAGTGCTAAAGACCAGCAAGGGTCAGGAAAAAGTGATGGAGGAGAAATCTAGGTCGGGCTCTTGGAGGTCTCTCCCCCTGCCAACATCCTGACTTTAACTATTACACTCTTCAGAACCACTGTCTGGCCTGTCCTTGAGTCTGGTGAAGAGAGGACCCCGACGGTTGGAGCTCTCCTGGGCAGGGTCACGACCTCGCAGCCCTGGAGTGAACCTGAGCTATGAGTTGCATGTGTTGAACCAGGTAAGAACCCACCCTTTCCTCTACCCCCCCCAAAAAAAGTTTCCTCAACATCTATGCCCAGCCACATCCAGGGTGGGAAACCAAAGGACAAGGTCTTCACCACTTACTCCTTTCTGATGCTTCTCCACAAAGCCCTTTCTCTCCTGTTCATCCTACCACACAGGAGGAGGAGAGATACCAGATGGTGCCAGAGCCCAGAGTATCATTGACAGAGCTACAGCCAGACACTACCTATGTGGTGCGAGTCCGCACATTGACTCCCCTGGGTCCTGGACCCTTCTCGCCTGATCATGAGTTTCGGACCAGCCCTCCTGGTGAGTAATCAATCCTCTGAGACTGACTCTAAACCATTATACTAGTTCAGTCTTCCCAGTGAGTCACCTCACCTTCCCCGACACACATGCACAGTCTTCCAGTGACCCCCTATGTACATGCACATGCACACACACACACACACACACACACACACCAGCCTTCCTATGAGTGACCTCTGCCCACACAGAGATGCTACCCGTTCCTCCCCTCTTAAGAACACACACAGCAGATCCTGCCCCACCTGCAGCCAGCAGCTCCCTAGTCAGGGACCACACAAACAAACCACGCTGTGAGTGCGCGCACACACACACACACACACACATATGTGTGCGTGTGCACACACGCACAATGAGGGACCTCCACATACACATTTTGTCGAATGAGGTCTCAAAAAATTTACCCCAGCTTCCCCAGTGAATTAGTTGTTTCATACAACTCACACATACTCCGGTTTTCCAATGAACGATCTCTTGTCCATAATAATAATAGCTGTCTGGCTGGGTTTGGACAGCCTTGTTACATAGGGGCTATAACAATAATTCCCATTTTACAAATGAAGAAACAAGTTGAGATGGGTTAGGGGTCATGTAGCTGGTGTGGATCTGAGGCAGGATTCAAACAAGCTCTTCCTGACTCAGGGTCCAGAATGTTATGCACTGGCCCCTGTCAGTGATACCGTGTACACTAGCCATCTCACTGAGTGAACTCTCGCTGAACAAACATCAGCCTCCACAGCAAGGGACCACATCCCCCTGCCAACATCCTGACTTTAACTATTACACTCTTCATCTCTCAGTGAGTTGTTCCCTTCCTCCACCTGCATGTACACATATGGTCCCAGAAACTATGTTTTATGTGACATACAGATGTGGCATATGTATGCACACAGACCAACCCTGACTCTTACCCCCACAAACAACTTCCAGGACATCACACAAATATCAGCTCCCAAGTGAATGACTACACACTCACACAGAGCTGCTCTTCTCAATGAGTTATCCACATATGACCACAAAGAGCCCTTGTGAACAACCTCCCACACACATATATCAGACGCTAGTGACTGACCCTCCCCAACACATACACATATGCTAGGGCCCCCAGAGAATAATCTTACACAGATGCACCAGCCTTCTCCCCCTTCCCTGCCCCCCACCATCCTCCCCTTCCTCACTTCCATGAATATGGGTTTGACTAGGTAGCCACTATGTTCCATTCCAACTCTCCAATTCTGGGCTTCTGTGATTGACCACATATCCACACCAGCACTCCAGTGAATACAGAATCACCTTCCTCATCTCCACTCATTAATCTCATCTTTCCCTCCTTACTTTCTTGCCTTCCCTCTCCCCAGCCCATGTCCTTTCAAGCTCCAAAATGCTTTATCTCAGTTCATTTGTCCTCAGTTTCTAAGGGCCTATCTGGGGGAGAGATTGTGGCTGTTGTTTTTGGCCTGTTGCTGGCATTGGCTCTGATCCTTGGATTCCTGGTCTTCCGCACAAGGTATGAGCATAACAGACCCCCTCACCACTGACCACTGACCTTCCCACTCATAGTTTCCATACTCCAATGACAATTCTAATTCTTCTTCAAGGCCCCCTCAGCCCGTCATAGTACTCTGCTTCTCCCCCAGTACCCAGTAAATTAACTCAGGTCAGAGCACCAAACCCCCCACCACCACCACCAGACATTATCCCAGAAGAAGGCACATACCATTCACTGGGTTCTCTGAGAACAGACCTGTTCCCACAGCCTCCCTGGAAGTATGAGAATAAGGAGATGGGGGTAGAGGATGTGAAGAACTGCGATGAACTCTTTTCCGTTCCTTTGTCCTTCCCCTAAACTGTAGGAGAAGAGCTCAGAAGCAGAAAGGGCAGCGAGAGTGTGCTTCTGATGGTGGGGATCGTGGTGAGTCAGTAATGGGGAGTGGTGACAAGGGCCCTGATCTCCTAGGAGGCAATGAATATGAGGGGGATGATGAGGAAGGCTAGGAAAAGGGAGTGAAGAATTCTGGAGCTTCTGAGGCAGGGGAAGGCTAGCTTGGGATTGTCTCTGGGGCTCTCAAGTTTTGCTGCTTAATTAAGTTTAGCTTAATTAATCTTGTGCTAATAGCACCAGTGTAGCTCTGGTGTAATTATCTATTAGCTGCTAGTTCTTTTGCACCCTCCATTACCACACCCCCTCCCCCATTCACTCACACAAACACACTTTCCATCAGCCCCAATCCCATCTCCAGGCTGCCTTCCCCACCCCAGCTATACTCTGGGTCACAGCTCATAGGGCAGGAATGCATGCCTGCAGGGAGAGGTATGGGACTTGGGGATGTCCAGCTCAGGCAGATGGACCTTATCCCAGTTACCTCATTAGAAATCCAGCCTCAGCCCCCCTTTAAAAAAAAAAGCAGAAGGAGGGGGGACATAATGACCCATGCAGCTGCTGAAAGCAGCCAGGGAGTATGGGTCATCCTGGCAGGGAATGTGGGGGAGGTGTGAGCCGTAGAGGTAGTTTGGGAGGTGGAGGTTAGAGGAGGAGACAAGAAATTTGGTGGGCAGGGGAAATTGAGTAACCCACTAACATCAGAGAATGGTGGTCAGAAGGGGGAGGGCAGTAAGCAAGATGCTAGAGCTTGAAGCTCCCCTACCCCTAAACCACAAAAGGGCTGTTTGGAGGAAGTCATGGTAGTGGGGGAGAGGATACAAATGGCATGGATTGAGAGTCTGTACTCTCTAACCCCCCTCCATATTAAGTATCTCTAGCTGACCCCTCCTTATTCTCATCCCAGAGGATAAGCTCTGGCTGAAGCCCTATGTAGACCTCCAGGCATATGAGGATCCAGCCCAGGGTGCCTTGGACTTCGCTCGGGAGCTTGACCCAACCTGGCTGACTGTTGACACAGTCATAGGGGAAGGTGAGCTCAACATAACCCATATCTACCACCAGCCTAGTTACTGAATATCACTACCACTGAATATCCCTTCCCACTCATCCTCAGCTTCCTCTCAACAAACATAGATAGACACATGTATGCTCGTGCATTTCAATGCTGCCCCTGGTGGCATGAAATTGACTACACTCTTCTGCTTTTGCTCCCATCTCTCTCAGGATGGGGATGTTTTCTCTTGGCCATGATTTAAAACTACCGCACTCCTTTTCAGAATGAATTCTTTTGGCAAGAATAAGCTCTGAGACCACTCTCCTTGAGGGAAACAGTAACTAAACCATAGTAAGAACTATAGTATGTGTGTTGAGTGACACCTCCATTAAGGAATTCTCTGGTAATGCAACTACCTTTACAACAGAGTCCACTGAGTTTAATTCTGCAACTAGGTGGTAAAGTGGATAGAGCACTGATCCTGGAGTCAAAAAGACTCGAGTTCAAATGCAGCTTCAGACACGTCCTAGCTGTGTGTGACCCTGGGCAAATCATTTAACCTATATCTGCCTTAGTTTCCTGAATGGTAACATGGGATAACAATAACACCTCCCAGGGTTGTTATGAAGATCAAATGCAATGATATTTTTAAAATGCTTTGCACAGGACCTGGTATATAGTAGGCACCATACTTACTAGCTGTGTGACCCTGGGCAAGTCACTTAACCCCAATTTCCTAAGCAAAAAAACCCAAAAACATAGTAGGCACTATATAAATGCTAGCTATGATTTGCTATCATTATTGACTTTTTACATATTGTGAAAAGAAGAGGTCCTTAAACCCAGAGTCTCACACACTTATACTTGCCTTGACCTTGTTAGGGGGTAAAATTGTAAGGCAGGCAACGTTTTCTGCCTCCTCACCCTGCCCCACTGCCCCTCAATGTGCTTCCAGCTGGAAGGGCATCTCGTCCAATCCCCTCATTTTTCCACAAACGAGAAAACTGAGACCTAGGGAAGCGCAATGATTTGTGCAAAGTCATGAGGTTTGTAAGTGGGAGAACCCAGGTTCAAAACCAGACCCTCTCGTTCCAAATCCAGCATCCTTTCCATTGTACCATGTAGTCAGTGGTTTTTCATTTTGATAAAAATATTAACAACATTTGTATCGTACTTTCTTTCAAGTTCACAAAACGCTTTACATGTTATTTTATTTGATCCTCACAACACTATGAAGTAGTGTTGTTGTCCCCATTTTACAGATGAGGAAATTGAGGTCCAGAGACTAAGTGACTTATCCAGGGCCATACAGCTAGTAAGTGTTTTAAAAGCCTTTTATGTCTTATCAAAGGGGTTTGGGGTATCAGTAAGCAATTTAGATAGATACACGCGCGTGCGCACGCGCACACACACACATGCATTTGTATATATGTACATATATATGTGTATACACATATACATATATAATGAAATTTATTGCTTACATATTCAGATATCAGTAGTCAAAAGTAAATATATACACCTATGAAATGTGTGTGCGTATGTGTATAAATACCTAGGTCTATTGAAAAGACTTGCCCTGAATTAAAAAATGATTTAGTCTTTTCAAGTAATGGAGATTGTGAGAGAGAAGATTTTCATTAATATCTTTTGTTTCTATGTCACCAAAATTTCTTTCTGTGTCCCCACTGGGCCAACCTTCTCCCAGACAGCTATTCCTTTATAACAAAGATTTTTTTAAAGTAAAAAATAAGTGAAAGAGAAAAAAATTCAGCAAAGACCATCAATACATTAAAAAATGACATTGTATGCCATGTTAAATGCTCATGGACATCCTCCCAATAGCTAGTAAGGTTTGCAGAGAGCTTTACATAATGTCACATTTGATCCTCACAACAATTCTGTGAAGGAGGTGATATTATCCCTATTTTAAAGATGAGGAAAATGAGGCAGAGAGAGATTTATGGGACTTGCCTAGGATTACACAGCTAGCAAATGTCTGAGGCAGGATTTGATCTATAGCTCTCTATGCCACCTCGCCCTATATGTTTTGCAAGAGTCAGAGGGTTGGTATAGTGAAGAGCATCAATAGGTGGCCCAATGGATAGAGTTCTGGGCTTGGAATCAGGAAGACTCCTCTTCCTGAGTTCAAATCTGACTTCAGACACTTACTAGCTGTGTGACCCTGAGCAAGTTGCTTATCCCTGTTTGCCTCAGTTTCCTTATCTGTAAAATGAGCTGGAGAAGGAAATGGCAAGCTGCCCCATTATCTTTGCCAACAAAACCCCAAATGGGGTCACAAAGAGTTGGACACGACTGAAAAGACTCAACAGCAAACACTTTACTTAGTGGCCCAGGATCTTGGCGATGTGCCCTCTGTTTTGAGGAAGTCATCCCATATTGTTTTTGCATCAGTAATAACCATATTATTCAAGAGCCAGTATGGCATCCTCAACAGAGAGCTGGCCTCAGTCAAGAAGACTGGGTTCAATCCTGCCTCTGACATACGTTGACTGTGTGACCCTGGACAAATCACTTAACCTCCCATTGCTCTAAGCAACTCTCTGAGATTATAAATTGAAGAGAAGGTGCTGAATTGCACTGGTAGAGGGAGTTCCCTAAGAACTGATGAATTCACAGGCCCATTCCCTATCTATAATATATGTGAGATACTGCTTGTTCTTATAGTAGATGACAAACGTGTCATTTGAGACCAACGTGAAGGGCATGATCTTATGTCTCCTTTCTTCCCCCCCCCCATCTCTAGGAGAGTTTGGGGAAGTATATCGAGGGATTCTGAGAGTCCCTGGCCAAGAAGTTTTCACGGTAGCCATCAAGACTTTGAAAGCCACATCTCCAGATGGTCATTGGTGGAATTTCCTTCGAGAGGCCACTATCATGAGCCAGTTTAATCACCAACACATCCTGCACCTGGAGGGTGTGGTCACCAAGAGTACGGAAGAAGGGGGTGTGGGAGGTTGGGAGGCATCGGATTTGATCACCAAGAGTATGGGGGAGCGGGGAAGGCTATGGTTTGCCAAAAGAACAAATAAGGTGTGGTCACTAAGCTAGAGTTGGAGTGGGTTGGGTACTGTCACCGAGAATGGTGGGATGAAAAGAAATGGATGTAATGGCTGCAATGGCTGCAATGATGGGATTTAGGAGTTCTTTGTGAATAAGAGATTAGACTGAAGTGGGTGATGGGAACCCTGGTTCTATTACGTGAGTGAAGCCATCTTTGATCTGTTTTCTGTGTCCCAGGGAAACCTATTATGATCATCACGGAGTTTATGGAGAATGGAGCCCTGGATGCCTTCTTGAGGGTGAGGAGGATTGAATCAGTTGGGCAAGGGAGGGAGGTTAAAGTCAGCCTTTCATTGTCCCTACTGGATGGGGGTGGGTTGGAGGTACTTGAGGGAAATCCAGAGGGTTAATGGAGAGAGATGAAAGAGGGAAGAATTAATAAAAGCAAGTTCTAGGTGGTAGTTCCAGCTCCTGGGAAGGAAAGCATTGCTTAGCTAGCTACATGAGATAACATTTGTGAAGTGCTTAGCGTAATGTTTGGCACACATTAGGCACTTAATGTTTGTTCCATCCTACATCCAGGCACAGGAAGAGCAACTTGCCCCTGGACAGCTGGTGTCCATGCTGCAGGGTATCGCCTCTGGCATGAGCCACCTGAGTGACCATAGGTATGTTCACCGAGACCTAGCTGCCAGAAACATCCTGGTGAGCCAGAACCTGTGCTGCAAGGTCTCTGACTTTGGCCTGACTCGATTGCTGGATAATGACCGCGATGGCACTTATGAAACCCAGGTCAGATCCCTTCGCGTTTCTCCCGTTCTCCCCTCTCTCTTCTTAAAAATAGGGTGCTGGCCTTGGAGTCAGGAAGACCTGAGTCCAAATCCTGCCTCAGATACTTAATACCCTGCACAAGCCACTTAACCACTTTCATCCTGTGGCCTGTTTCC